ACCGATTCCACTCTGATTTCATGAATTTGGTTTAGGTTTGGGCCTCGGACTGCAAACCGAAAACGCACAGGATCTACATTGAATAATGATGATTATTTTGATACCTGTCATACTGCGGAGTGCGGACGTCGTACAGGAATTCATTATTATGGTCTACCCTACGAAGCACTCCGTATCTAGGTACTATTATACTTTCAAGCTGCAAGAATATGGCTCAACGTATGATCTGTACAAATCTGCTATTCTGTCTGTTTCTCCACCTGTGCATATGTGCATACTACGGTAGATAGATACCTGTGAGAAATGTGAGGCAGCTTGCCTTATCTTCCTTGAGTGTCCTGTAAACTCTCAAGTTCGTATCGGGCTAGGAATCCCTGCCTAACCTCAAACAGAGTACTGTCCAAGGAGATCATGAAACCAAAGGGGCAAAGGGCCAGATTCCGAAAGTCCTAATTTGATTTCAGCGAAAATCGTTCCTTTTAGAGTGGACTCGAGTCATAGCGAAGTATTAGTAGGCTTGACCAAGTGATACCATTCGCTATCAGATGCACACCATCCAGAATCTGTACAATGCGCCAAAGCATGAAATAATATGGACTCTTTAGATAGACACCAGAGTACCAGAAGCAGACTTTTGCTAAGCAAATAGCAATAGTTAATATTACTTTGTAAAAATGGATGTACGGAGTACCAAGAGTAACCCTCTGTCGATCCTTGCATTCCAATCCGGCGAAAATGCGATTCATGCCTGCCTCGTGGCGTCGTTCGGTTGCAGTTGCTCGCCAAGAAAGGGAATGGAGGCCTGCCTTCTGTGGAAACTAGAAGATTTAGGGTAAAGCACAGGGAATGAAGGGCACTAATCATGGGCTCGGGTTGGGCCATAATCGACTAGGAAGATAGATAGATACAGTCTGCCAGGAGCAGCGACACATGGCTTGGTGGCTGGTGCATTATCAAATAGGTGGACGGGGACATCGACAGCGGCATTGTTTCACAGCACAGTTGATTATTGATGTCTCATGGATGATGCAACAGGAATATGCTGCGTGTATGCATCTAGTCTCTAGGTGCAGCAAAAGAGACATGGAAGAGTTCCTGGCGTCTTCGAAGGAAGAATGAAGAGTCATTAATGGCCCATCTCAGTGGGTACAACTGGACCTTCTGGGCCACTTGGAATTCTGTTCATTTGTTCCTTCATCCCGTACCTTTTTTTACAATGAAAATGGTCCTGGTCAGGAAGTCCAATAGTATCTCGAGGAGAAGAACTTCTGAGTAATATTAGAACAAAACAATAAGACATACCAAGGAGCGCCTTTGTGTATGTTTTCTCTTAATGAAGATTCCCTAGGTGGCTCCTCAGTATTAGGTAGACACTATCGAGTACGGAATCTTAAGAACCAGGGGCAACTCTCGATAACCGCTCTGAAACATAAACATAACGAAATTATACCAAAGAAGTCGACCTGATCCCGAGGTCTTACTGAATAGCTAAGAGAAATGGTGCCAAATTAGTCTTTCTCCGGTCGGGTCGCAAGCCTGGAACTTCTTGAATAATAATTGTTGTGCCCATCTCACTTGACACTTCTACTACTCCTACTCCGGAAGGCTTCCACTTCCACCTCCACCACCACTACGACTCAAAGCTAAGGTACTCCAACCTGCAGTCCCATCCCGGCTAACTCCTCCCCCCGCTTGGTCTCTGGCCCGTTCCATTGTCTGCTTGTCTTGTGGGACGGCAGACATGTACTATCTCTCCTGTCTGTTGGCGACCGGTCTTCATCTCTTTCTTCCCTTCTCTGTTTCCCCTCCACAATAGTCGGTTCGCCGTGCCCGAACTCCTTGCTCTAGAGGACGCCCTCACACCGGTGTACGCTCTATGGGAATTGCTGCAAGAGACGTCGAATAGCCCCTACTGGTTTCTTCGAGTAACTGCGAGTAACTGCTATTCCTACCCCTGCAGGGTTGAGGAGCATCGCGGCCTGTCGGCATAGGAGTCCCCTACTCTGTCGGGTCTTTTGTCTACGCCATTCGACCTATCCGAGACCCCAGAATCTCCCCAATCAGGATCTGAGTCGGTTTCGGTTGCAGTCGAACTATCGAAATTGGCTTGTGATATTTTGGAATTTGTCGCGGCTGATTTTGCGATTACGACTCCGGATTCTCGCAAGCTTTAGAGTCGGCTGTTGTCTCGAACTTTTCGACAATACCTCCCTCACAATCGGAAGTGCCCCCGATTCATTTCACCGCAAGGCGGAGCAACGGTCTGCAACCCAAGATATATCACAGCGACAGGAAGATATCGGCTTCGGCATTTCCTATAACAGAAGCTGTGAAAGTACGTTTATCCATGAGAGCACATTTGAGACAACTTCCCGCGTCAAGGTTATGTACTGACTTGTAACATTATCACCAGTAGAACCACAGCCCTTCGGACGTACTCTCGGGTAGGTCGATAGATTTCCGCTTCAAACACTGCCCATAATAAGCGCTTTGCTCGAACCTTCCTGCCAATTGCTATGCCTCGTATTTATGTTGAGTCATTGATACATGTGTCGACGTCCTTCCGTTTAAGTGGTTACTTGGTGAAGTGCACGCAGTCTCCTGATTCAGCTTGAGAGAAACTCGCAATCTGCGTTGGAGATCTGATTTCGCGTGCGTTTCATCGATGCCATTCCACTGACCATATTTCTCCTGACTGCAGTTGCCTTGTCTCCTATCTCCACGCTTTATCCTCGACTACGAAAAGCCTACATCATGGGTTGCATGAGCTCCAAGCAGGCCGAAGCGGCGGACAAAGAAGCTGTTCAGCGCACAGTTCGGATAGACAAATCGCTGAAGAATGACAAGAAATTGATGGACAGGACAATCAAGATTCTACTACTGGGTATGCCCTTGAAACGATACGGTGCATCCATAAGCTCGAACACAGATACTGATGGTTCCTCGTAGGTGCTGGGGAGTCAGGTAAATCAACAATTATCAAACAGATGCGCATTATCCATTCAGGAGGGTTTCCTGAAGATGAGCGACGACAGACACGTGCTGTTATATACTCTAATCTAGTCATCGCATTCAAGGTTCTGCTGGAGATTATGCGCGCAGAGCAGATTGATTTCGAACTCGAGACTACAAAGGTAAACTGAAGGGGAACCCTCTATATTTCCCATCCAAGCTTTGGTCCCACTTATGATACTAACCGTTGGTTTCGCTTTCCAGCAATTGGCGGAATTCATAGACAATCTAGAGCCCGATGTAGGATCGGACGAAGCATTTTCAGATTACAAGGTCCGCGATGCGATGAGGGAGATGTGGGTTGACGCAGGGGTGCAAAAAGCCGTGTCTCGAGGTCACGAGTTTGCTCTACATGACAATTTGCAATAGTAGGTCTCGTCGACAATATCTTGCTCATTAGCGGCTACTTACTCTCTCCTAGCTTTTTCGGGTCGCTTGACCGGTTATTCAAGCCCGGTTGGCTACCAGACAACCAGGACATGCTGCAGGCCCGTTTAAGGACAACTGGTATCACGGAGACTCTCTTCGAGCTGGGGCAAATGAATTTCAGAATGATGGACGTGGGTGGGCAACGGTCTGAGCGCAAAAAATGGATACACTGTTTTGAAGGTGTCCAGTGCCTTCTTTTCATGGTCGCGCTATCTGGCTACGACCAGTGCTTAGTAGAGGATCAAAATGCCGTAAGTCGAATCCAGCCTCAGTGCTTCTGAAGAAGCATCTTATCTAACGCAAACGCAGAACCAAATGCACGAAGCAATGATGCTCTTCGAATCTTTGGTGAACGGAGAATGGTTCAAGCGCAAGCCCATCATTCTATTCCTGAACAAAATCGACCTTTTCAGGGGAAAACTCGAATTCTCACCGGTATCAAAGCACTTTCCAGATTATAATGGTTCGAACTCGGATTTCGACGCTGCAGCGCGGTACTTCGCTGATAGATTTCGCGGTATCAACCGAATACCGGACCGTGAGATCTACATCCACTATACCAATGCTACAGACACAACGCTTTTGAAAGCGACTATGGAATCTGTACAGGACATGATCATTCAGAAGAATCTCCACACGCTCATCTTATGAGTATCCTCGGACGGAGACAATCGTTATTGACGAGGCTTACCGCCGACCTGAGACGCCGAATTTTCACTGCTTTTCATGGCTTCTTTCCCATTGCATATGAGAGCGTTCACATTCCTGGATTTTTCACTTCTTACATATTATTCTGTATATCTTACCCTGTATATCTTATACCTGCCCATCTCTCCTTCCGCTCATTGAAGCGATCAATCGAAGGATTGTGGACTCTTCGCTACGTCGCCATGCTACATTGCATGAAAGCTCATCCAGCCTGATATCCCATATCTGCTCATTTCAGCGATGGTACTTATGCCTATATACTGCTGGGTGATACCCATTCTCTATTTTAACATTCCTTTGATTCCTTTTGGAAGTTTGGATACCTAATGATTGTTACTTATCATTTGTTTCTGTTCATATTTTCTGTGTACTTCTTATCTTCGTATTTCTTCCTCTATACATTGCTATAGAGCTATAGACCCATATCGCGTTGACGGCATGGCGGTCCATCGACCAATAATGCGCAAATCCTTGCAAGCCCACCTGGATCTTGTGAGAAGTGCTAATCAATTGAATCAATTGGTGTGGTGTTGCCCTGCTCTGCATGTAGCAACCTGCAAGTGTTGTATTGTACTCCGTACAAGGAAAGTTTCTCCAAACGAGCGATGCGTATATATCTACGTCAGGGCTTGTCTACATAGATATTCACATACTACCTCACTAAGTAATTCTAGCGCTTCCTACTATAGGATACACACTATTTAATCTTTTCATGTGTTCTTACCTCCCTGCCTGTCTCTCTCTATCTCTCTATCCTCAATCATCGATCATCTTGTTTTCATCTATCTCTCTCTCTATCATCACTCAATCATCTTGTCTTCGTCTGCAATCCACTCAAGCAAGTCATTAAAATGGCTCCTCCCCGTGGCAAGCGTGTGCGGTTTGCCTCTCCCTCTGCTGCCACCACTCCCCTCAGAAAGTCTGCCCGACTTGAAGCTCAGCCATCGAGTTCAACTCGACAGCGATCAGCTGGGTTGTCTATCATCCCCTCGGAGAGTTGGGAGGCGTTGCGCGCAGAAGCCGCTGAGCGCGTTGACAGCTATGAGCCTCAGAATCGGCCCGATGAAGCCATTCTGAAAGCGTCGTTGCATGCATTTCTCCAGTGGCTTCCCGAAAAGGGCCGGTCCGCTGTGGCCAGAGACATCATAAATGCAACAAGTGACAAAACTCTCTATGAAGTCTTTCACAATCTCTTCACTTGTCTCGTGGCGCCGAGTAAGTCCAGAGTGCTCTAATAAGCAGCAGTCATTGCTAATTCCTGAAACAGTGAAAGCTCGATCACAACGGCCTTCCGTGACAGACTCACCGCACGGAAAGAGGCAGGAGCAGGTAGAGGCTGTGGCCTCTAAACTTGACCAGCCGAGCATCCGTACTGAAGACTTTCGAGAGTTATGTTTGAAACGCGATGGCTACCGCTGCGTAGTAACCGGGCAAATGGAGCTCAAGCACTGGATTAAGAGTAAGCGTCCTGCGGACATCCCAAAAGGACACGTCGAGGCCGCGCATATCATCCCATTTTCGTATGCCTCATGGGACAAAGCATCGGTAATATCTTCTCAACGCTCTGACCATGTACATTAATATACTGACTAAACCAAGGCGCCACCACATGCTACTTCAAGCGCATGGACGTTGCTCTATCGGTGCTTTCCTGATGTTTTAGAAGCCGGGATGAAACCGGAAAATATTAACAATCTCTGCAACAGCATGACACTCAGAAACGCTCTACATGTGGAGTTCGGGTGCTTCGCCCTCGCTTTCAAGCCCACTGTTAGTACCAAGCAAGCCGACATACATACTGTTATTCAGGTTTACTGACAGAGATGTGTGCTATTAGGAGAAGGAGAACGTATATCAGCTAAGAGTCTTCGAGAGTCAATTTTCAACCTTTGAATTGCCGCACCTCCCTTCGTCGCGCAAGGTTGAGTTTAAAAAGGCAGAAGATGCGCAGGACTTAGAGCTTCCCAGTGCCGCATTCTTAGACTGCCATTGGAGACTTTCCGAGATCTTAAATGCCTCTGACATGGCTGAGGTGATTGATAAGCATCTGCGAGATTGGGATCATATAAAGGGAAGTACAGGGGGCTCGCTAAGGGAGGACGGGGGTACAGATATTGGGCACATTCTACAAGTAGGCCTGTGGGAACGAGTCGTAGGATGAGAAGGAATTCTGAACATTATGTCGCTGACGAGATGACATGTACTTTGAAAGCACACCTATACACACAAAAGTCAAGTCCAGAATGACCGAGTCGTCAAGAGATCATGTGATAATTAATGCCTGAGGCAGTAATAGCTGACATAATTGCCATTTCCGCATGATCAATTCCGACTTTCGAATTCGCCTTCAACATCTCTCGCGGCATCAAGCAAACTCCCTTACCCACTTGCTGGGTTACTTACTTGTGCAAATGTTGCCATCCTCCGTTCGCCGGGCTGTGTGGACGCCCATTGTGCCTATTTCTGCCATCTCTCGAACATCCAGTCAAGCTCTTGCTTCGTCTTCGAATGGGTTCTTCGGCACGACCGAGCATGTGCGTCAACGCCGATACTCCTCCTCTTCCTCAAAGCCCAGCGATGGTTCAAGAAACATCGATGCTTCCTCGCAGACACCCGCGAAAAGCGTGAACTCCGGGGATAAGCGTGAAGGTAAATCTTCGAAGCGGAGGGGAAAGGATGGCCGGAATGGCTCCAAGTCCAATCAGCATGCTGCGTTTTCGAGATTGCCCAGTGTTCCGTCAACGCAACATCTACAGCCACACGGTCAGTATTACTTGATATGCAGAGTCAACTATGTCACTTTTGGCTTCGCACGTCTGTTTGACTCTATAGTTTCCAAACTGACCATTTCGTCTCCCGGCAGATATCCATGTTGCGTCATTCTTCTCCATTCATCGACCTATCTCTGTCTCTACCACTGTACCTCCACCCTCCAGTCCCGAAGCCTTTGATGCCATCTTCACCGCGAAGAAGCCCTCCAAGTCCGACCCGGCCGATGTGATTCTTACACTTTCTTCCGCCGTTCATAACATGGAGAACGCGGCGTACCTCGGCGAGCAAGAAGACCAGATGAACATCCTGAGTCGGGGCTTCAATGAGGCGGAGGGCCTCGAAGGAATGAACATGTCCGAATTGCGAATCTCGATCGAAGAACTCACCAAACGCCTGCGTCCCTTCCAACCCCCGCCACCTCCAGTGGCCTACGACGAGGCCAAGGATGCCAGCGCCACCGAAGAGACCTCCAGCTTCTCGACTGTCCTGACCATCCACGAGTCCACGCATCCAGACGGCCGCAAGACATACCAAGCCCATGCTTCCCCATTCGTCCCCACGCAGGACCTGGAGGCTCCCGGCGCTGGGGAGAACGATGCTATCATCGATATTCCCCACGGGTCGGAAAACTCATACATCGAGCGCCTGCGCGATAACAACACCATGCATGCCATCAGCACCAGGAGACGGCGCAAGCTGAAGATGAAGAAGCACAAGTTCAAGAAGCTGCTGCGCAGGACGAGAACCCTGCGACGCAAGCTGGACAAGGCTTAATTAAGGGGACTTCCCGCACCACATTAGCTTCTCATTTTCACCCCGCGTCTCTCCTCTTTTGTTGCCTCATCTTTCTTTGACCAACCACGACCCTGAGAAGCGTTGGGGCCGGTCTATTAACTGACGGGTCTTGCTCCCGTTTGCTTGTCAATGCTTTCTCTCATAAGCTTTTGTTGACATAGTCCTTGTGGTATTTCTTTCCTCGCTGATGCATAGTATCCAGCATTCTGGTATCAATAGACAATATCATTCCGTATACTATCCTCCGTCTAGAGCCATCATCATAATGGCAGTATGTACTTGACTCTTTCCACTTATGGTTTGAGATCCGCGTCCTATTCAGCTTGCCGACGTGTCGAGCTAAGATTGACCAATGTAACGGTCGTCCTTCATCTCACCATTACACGGATGGCCATCAGGTTTAACTAATGCTTAGTCGCGATAGCAATGATATTTCGAAAACTGGAAAACAGGAATAAGAATGCCATCCAGCCAACAAGAACATACATGAAAAAAGGGGAAAAAGGCAAAAACATTCAGCATTGCAAGATAAATGACCCAGACTAGCTAGGTCACAACAACAAACTCGCATAAAGTACAAGTTCACCGCGGATGTTGGCCCTGCGATGTATCTATCAGAGTCTGTGAACCAACCCCGATTTCCTAGTCTACATCTCTCGGCCGCCAACACATCAGCATTATATCTGTTGTCCATTTATAGTTGAAGAGCCCCAGATCCACCTTCCTCGTTCAAGTCAGTTTTCGTACCTTAGCCTGGACAATGGACAGCAGATCCTGCTACCATATCCGAGACAAAAGGACAATTATCTCGTTACATGGTGTTTGAGCAACCCACATCCCAAACTGCGATTTTGTACACAAAGAGGGCGGGGCTAATCTCGCTTGATAGTGATTCAATCCTTCTCAATCGTGAGAGTCGATAGAGTGCCCGTTTAGCACTTGGCGTCGATTCTCGAGCGAGAGTTCATGAGAAGAGCAACGATCAGACCGTACAGACCTGCACAAAGAACGAGCGACGGTTAGTAATATGAAGCTATGAAAGAGTCACATATCATGATACTCACCCAAGACTTCAGCGAAAATCAGAATCAGAATCATGCCGACATATAGTCTGGGTTGCTGGGCGGTTCCGCGGACACCAGCGTCACCGACAATACCGATGGCAAAGCTGCAGGCGAGCAAGGTCAGTTGATTGCTAACAGAATCTAAGGAGTTCGTGATGGAACATACCCAGCTGCCATACCGGCGAGACCGACGGCCAGACCTGCACCCAACTGAATGAACCCTGTGTACAGAGGAACGCTCTGACCCAAGTCGTTTGCGATCAGGACGGATACGACCAGCCCATAGATACCAATGATACCAGCCATGACAATGGGAACGATGTCTATGGAAAGCCGTTAGTTAATACATCCTCGGGCCTCTCAGATCGCTATGACGCTGCAAACATACTCTTAACAATCAGGTCGGGCCGGAGGACAGCCATCCCGCAGACACCGACACCAGCCTTGGCAGTTCCATAGGCAGCTCCGAAGCAGGTGAATACAATGGCCGAAGTGCAGCCGAGAGCACCGAAGAAGGGCTATCAGAGTCAGTATTAGTTGTATTTGAAGACGCGAGTGAGATTGCTCCAAGTGCTGGAGAAACAATGACGAAGCTATCCGCGGGGGTACGGAAAAGAGCTCTGGTATCGGTGGCTGGGGAAAGCGGAATACTCACAGCATAAACTGGGCTATTCAGATGAGAGTATTAGCATTTGAGATCTGGTGCTGGAATTGATGCAGGGGTTGACCGGGATTGGAGCAGTAGCTGGTTGTAAAGGAGCAGCAGATGAAGTGGTTACGTACCAAAGTTCCGTGGCCATTTTGAAAGGTCGAACCGGTCGGGCTATCAAAAATATGATTTATGAAGCTCAAGGATATGTAAGTGATCGACAACGGGTGATTTAGTGACTGCAGAAGCTATCGTTGCGATGATGCGAAGGCTTTGGGTTTCGGGATGGAGTTGGAGGTCAAGGCGAACACGCTGGTTGCTTCGGAGAGGCTCAGCTACCATCTGCGCTACCACGTGATTACGGCTTGGCAGATCGACAATAGTGGAGGGTCAAGTCAACCAGCTTGAACCATGAGAGAAGTTTATGACTTTTTCTAGGTAATGCTGCATGAAATGACCAGTAGAGTCTATTGTACAATATATAACCCTGTGGGCTTTTACATGTGTCTGAGTTCAAATATCTCATGCCAAAGTCATCTCAATTCGACTTCCAGGAATATCACACTTGGTGCTGGTTCCAAGCACACCTCCCTTGGAGTTTGCCTCAATCTTGGGCTGGAAGTATGTGATTGCTTTCTCTGATAGAGCGCCAAAATAGCGAGGAACGGCTATCAGATCTATTTGCTCAGTAGCCTCGGTTGCCGGCATATCTGCATCAGAAACCATACCGAAACGAAACGAAACGCTCCCTTGAGGTAGCTCTGACAATGTTCGAAGGCCACTGTGCGTGTAGCCTGGCTCAACAGAAACGAAGAATTGAATGTAGTCGCCTGGACTAGCAACTTGTGACAGCGAAGACAGATCGTCCATTGCCATTGTAGGCTGCTCAAAGGGCAGTGGCTCGTGGACCGGGGTCCTGCCATCACCTGGGAATAAATGATCAAGGACTGACAGCTCTCCGTATTCTTTTGCTTCCAGAAAGCTTATCTCGGGATCCAATGACAGCAGTCCTTGCTTTTTACCCCATCCCCCTCCACCACTCATAACACGGTGAAGTTTACCACCAGCCTGAATTGATTGGACGAGGCGATCCTGAGTAGAAGTTGCGCTGGGTACAAAGTCGGTACCCGGCTTCTCGACCAGGGCCCAAACAGAAACCCTTTGGTCAGCAATGTTGTGTTCTGCAATGTAACGGGGAAGCTCCTTCTCCAGTTCGGATGAAGCTGGCATCGGTTCGTTCGACCTGCCATCAGCATGCTTCGCAACCTGGCGGAGAATATTGCCCATGCTAGAAATGACTTCTCTTCTCTGACCGACAGGATATAACGGAAGTCCACAAGAGGTTTGTAGATTCCTTGCAAAATTCGTTATTACACAGCTCGACAAGGAGACTGACTGGTCTAAGACATATTTGCTTGCTGAAGAATCGTAAACCCAGCGTGTTCCGAGAAGAGTATTGTCATTACCATTGACAAAAATGGTGTTGGCGAGCCGCAACCCGACCTCATGAACAGGCCTGCGAGTCTGATTAGATATACCCGGAATACTGGTCTTAATCGAGAACACAAGGGCGGCCTCCTCTGTTCCCATTCTTCTGGCCCGGCGGGGCGCAGCAGCTTTTGCATTTATATCCTTTGCCTGCGCGATCGTGACTGTCAATCCTTCGGAGTCTGATATGACTCCGTCGGAGTTTGTAGGTCGACGTGCATCCGGTATCCCATCGATGACAGCAAGGATAGCGTGGATGGGACCTGAAGACGCTGACGTCGTAGGTATCGGGTACAGTCTGTTCATCCACTGTTCGAGGAATTGGCTGTCGGGATTTATCCACTGAGCGAAAGAGGGAGTGGCGAGGAGGACGACAACATTTCCTGTTTCTGCTAGCGATGAGGAGGATGGAGGTAAGCCCGAAAGCACATCGTCTGGAGTCTCTTGACTATTTAGCTAGCTGCTCCAAGCACGGGAGCGAGAGCACTCACGATCTGCTCAGGTGTCTTTGTAAGCCATGTGTAGGCGAAGGGCAAGTGATCAGGGGCTGTTGCGCTTGTAGTCTGAAACCATCTTCTTGCTGTGCCGTTGTGTAGGTGATATGGGCTGTCCCTCCCTTGTACTCGACAGCATCTGCGAACCTGCTGGAGGGGGACTGACTTGAATGCCCGCTGTGTTGACGTGGAGAGCGGGACGAACCCGAGTCTCATCGCCATGAAAGCATGGGCAAGGATGACCAGTAGATGTGGAAAAACGTTGAGCTGGCGAGAGAAGTGCCGAGTTGATAAATTCGATAATTTCTGTATGCGGAGAACATCGTGCGGAGTTTAACCTATCTTTCCCGCACGCCAAGACATGATACCCTGTTGAGAAAAAGGGTGAGAATGGCGAGGTAGAATTGGCACGTCTATCATCATTTGCATATCATTCATCTGGAGCATATATGCGAGTGCTGATACTACATCCTCCTTCCATCTAGTATTGTGGGCTCTTCCTATTTCCTCTCCATTTGCCATGAAGCAGACTCCCAAGGGACAAGATAACTATTGAAGTCACTAATTCTATGTAGATATTGGCCGTCGGTAGAACTAATAGTATTCTAAGAGTGAGTTTATGTATGATATCTTTCTCGCTTCCAGTACCTCTCTCGAGCGAACGAAAAATCTGCCGAGATAGATCTCGAACTAAGGACAGTCCTGACGTAGGTCCAGGCAACAGGAATAAAACCACACTGCCACAAGTAATATTTCAATTAAAGAGCGTCATGTGGCTAATATTTCTCAGCCACCTTTGTGATGGAATAAGCATAACTTGCAGTCACACGTAGCATCAACACAAAAGGCGCCCGAGGGGTCCCCTTTCCTGTTCTACGATATTCCAGTAAGCCGTGTTTCCGAAGTCCAATTTCCAACCCTGAGGGATCGCCAGCCTTATCAGATTAAGGTACCTAATTTGAAGGACTCAAGGAAGGGTTCTAAGTAGGTACCTTTCTAGGCAGCGGAATATCAAAAAATCGTCAACGGCAGCCATCCACCAATCAAGTCAGTCTGTACGAACATGAGCCACAGGTCGGCGGTAAAAGCATGACGTAATGCTCAGCCTGCAAAAGGGATGATGTATGTATGGGCTTTGTATGAGGCTATGGGATACTCAGCACCCAAATGTTGCGTTGCGAAAAAGAGAAAAAAAAGGTAACTTTGTATTAAGATTATCTCTGGCATGGAAGATAACAATTTTAAAGAATTAATTGATAAAAATAGACGTCTATCGATTCCATATGTAGCAAAAGTAACGCAAGGCAAAGGCAAGATTGACTGACGTTAGTGGTGGTACCTAGGTAGGTAAGGTACCTCTAGCAAGTCCTGAGGTTGCACTACCCTATGTGTTGCCGATGATTTAAGAAGCAGCTTCCGCCCTATTCCTTGCCAACCCTTTCCCCATCATTACTATTACCGTCGCCTTTCTGAAATCACCTCTTCATCATCTCTCTCAAATATCCATCATATTACTCCTTCGATATCTTCCCTTGTCACCCTACAGACCACTAAATCAAGATGCCTTTCACTGCTTCGTAAGCTTCTCCCCTTGTTCCTTTCTTGCTGCTCTACGGCCATTGGTGGTACTCGCCCATGATGAGCGAATTTCAGCACTAAAAAAAATACATTGAGGGCGAAGAAGGTGCTAATTGTTCTCTTACTCTACAGTGACATTTGCAAGATCCTGTTTGCGATCATCCTGCCTCCTCTGGGTGTTTTCCTTGAGCGAGGATGTGGTGCTGATCTTCTGATCAACATCTGTCTGACCATCTTGGGTTGGATTCCCGGCATCATTCACGCCTTGTATGTACCCATCTCTTTTTGTGGCTGCCTAGCTTTCAGGGCTAACCGAGTTCGCAGCTACATCATATTCAAGTATTAGGGCGCGCTCCACCACTAGTCGATCACCTTCATCCCTCTTGAGTCTATCTACCGAAAATCGCAAACCAAAATCCATCTCGCTTCATCATGTCGGCTTTTATGAATCTTAGATGCGAAAGAGAATGCGATCTCTACTGATACATTACGGATGATCAAAGAGCGGTGTCGTCAACATGGTTCCGTGGAGCGCCGGTCGAGATTAGCCCCACTAGTCTTGGCAGTTGCTGCTCAAATGCTGTGACTTGATCGTGCCATACCACCTTAATTATTGCAATACGGCCTAATGTCTTCTGCTCCATCCTCGTCGTCTCCATTATTGCTCTGCGCTATGTTTCTTGTCTTCAACTCGGATGATACCAGCTCATTTCTCACAGTGGGCTTCTGCTCTTGGTTTGTTATCAGTGTTTCCACGTGATCATGGCAATGCCTACAAATCTTTGTTAAATAACGAGTTTAAACGCACTATCAGTTGTCTCCATTTTTTGTTAGAAGACTTTATATGCGTATCTCCCATTCCATGGGCAAATAGCGGAGATGGCAACCACTTCAGCCATAGACGCGCAACTTGGACTCCCAAAATCAAAAGTAGATTCTGCTCATCATGGTACCAAGCATGAGATAGCCCAGCGTCAGGTCAAGGTGCGGCCCAGTATCGCCAATAGATTTGCGCGGCACTGACTATGGAGTATACAATCAGAAGATCATGATTTCCACTGAATCTTGTCTACGTAGATCTCCCAAACCCTAGCCACTTAACCATCTACTTTGATCCTAGGACTCCTTGAGCAGTTGGTCACAGTCAAGATGCAAGCATTTAGCACAATCTGCATCAACAGTAGCTGCAGTTTCCTCGCTGTCAAAGTCATCTACTTGATCACAGTTCCGTCGATACTTATACACCCTTCCTCAAATGACTCGTTCATTAATCGGAGGCCATAACCACTGTGATGGGGGTCCAGGAGGATCCTATTCTTCTGGCAATAACTTGCAAAGTCACCATGTGGATAGTATTTGACGTTGACATATTCAGATCTGCCTGTGGACATGCGTTCAGCAATTCGCGGATGGTCGGTTGCTTATCTCACTCTCGCTGCGAGGTACCTTTCTGATAATCTTCCGTCTAAACGATGGGCCATTGGACTATGAAGAAAAAGTTACAAGAGAAACGATGCATCCTTACTGTACAATATATCGGGGCGCCAAACTACAAAGGGTGGAACTAACTCGAATAGGAAAGTCAGAGGTACTTGCAGCGCCAACACGGCGCGTATTCAGCAAGTCCTTCAACTCTTCTCCTACCGAAGCGCCAGCTTTGCTCATGCTGTCTCAGACATATCTTTCACGGATTAGACATGGCGTCAACTGTGTTTCATTTTCCATCAGAGCGCCTACAGACGCTCAGCCTCGCTGTCTCGTTTCACATATTGGGCTTCTGTGATGTGTAGCCAGTCAGAATCATGGCGAAAGGAGGCGACTTTTCCCATTTGACGCCGGCAACAGCGTCAGCAGGATGAGGAAGTGTGGTGAACTGTAATGATGGCATCCATTTTACGCGCCATGCGGGCTTCGATCCTTCTTCTCTTTGTTTTCCGTTTGCTTAACTCCAGAGTCTTCAGCATCGGTTCTCATGAGCACCGGGCTCTTCTGTGTTTTTGTGTGTTGAGATATTCGAGAATGAAGCTACATCTTTACTCATGACTCCTGGGGTGCTAGTTCCTTTGCAGTGCGATTATCAAGGTGAGGATCGGTATGTCCAGCCGTCCCCATTCTTCAGATTCCTGTTGCAAACCCATATTCTTCACCGAAAAAGTTCCGTCAATGTGGATGCCTAAGTGGTCTGACCGGATTTTAGGAATGCTACAACATGCTCCTCGCCTTAGTTCGACGGAGCTTTGTCGCAGCGATCTTCTGCGTATCATCATGTGTGGCACATGGCTCCCGTCACTCTCGACGTACGGCGTCCGTGGCCTCCTCGCCGCTCGAGTCTATTCCAGGATGTGCTTTGAGCTGCGTCAAAATCTTCATAGAATCGGATTACCCAACGAACGCGTGCGCCAGCCTAGTCCTAGACTGCCTGTGCAGGACGAACACGAAGAGTGGTTATACCCTAGGCGAGGCAGCTTTGCGCTGCAACCTGTCCTTCTGTCCCATGACTGTGACGGAGAGCTCCGATGTCTATAACATCTGTGACTCGGTAGCTGGCGCCGTTCCAAAGACACATGCTACCATAACCGCCACAGTCATGTCTACTATCTACCCGACAGCAGAAATAACCACGACAACAACATCACCATCAACATTATTGACGACATCGACCACAACAATGACCACAACAGATACCAAGGCTACGACATCGAGTTCCACGTCATCCACACTTGCCAG